TCTCACTTTTTTTTACTATGTTTTAAAAAATAAAAATTTTATTAATGTTTTATCTTTTTTACATGTCCAGCAAACATGATAAAATTTCCCTTCATGTAGTTCATGTTTCCAGCAAAGATTCAAAGTTCATTTATACATTATAGACAATTTCTCTGTTAACAAATATAAAAAATGCATCATCATATAAATTATCTTTAAGGCTAAAATATCATGTAAATTTCAGTCCTTTCAATCACATATTTCTATACCGGTCCATTTGTATATTGTAACCAAAATCTTCAACCCAGTTTGTCATACTTTATTAAACTTGTTCTTTTTCTGTCTCATATTTCAGCAAAAGTTTATATGTATTAGCAATAACATTTTCATCATTAGTGTATAATTCTATTTCAAATTAATCTTGCTTTGTTCAAAAGCGTAAAATCTTCTATTCTTCTTAAATCTTCCTATTAATTTTTCATAGGACAAACCAAATAAACAAATCCTTCTGTTATCAAATCTTTTCTTGTTTTCATTTTACAATCCCCTTGAGAAAATTCCAGGACATTTTGGGGGATTAACCATTTCTCAATTGGTTTTATTTACTTCATTGCAGTGTAAAGAACAGTAATTTTGATTCTGAAAATGCCAATAGAGAGCAAGTTTAATCCATTTCATGCACTGATTCCACAAATCAAAGCCTGACTAGAAGCAGGTATTAGCACTGCTGGGGAAAATGTAGGATCAAAACAGGATTAATTTATTTTGTACTCCTGTTGTTCATGTCTGTTTGTAAAATATATTCCTCTAGACATGCTCCCAAAGTTTGAAAGTTTTGGATCAATGTTTCAATAGATTTCTGTTCTTATACCAGCAGGAAGTAGAAGGAGACCATTTTCACTTCTCTTCTGCAGCTTTCTACTGCTACCTATCAAGCTATTCGCTATCTTCTGAAAATTTGGGGAGCAACAGTGTCCAACTTTTCCAGTTTGGTGGCTTGGTGTGGAGGTGTGTGTGTGAGTGGCAGGCATGTGCACATAGCTCTATTTGTGCAATTGGTGGGTGCACATACCCTCCACTTGTGCGAATGGAGCTTTGTGCATGAATGGAGGGTGTTTACACCCGCATATGAATCATCACTTGTGCAAGGAGGGCGCTTGTGCTTGTGTGCAAAGCTCCACTTGTGCAAATGGAGTTTCATGTGCGAGTGCAAACGTCCTCCAGTCAAACGAGTGGAGCTTTGGGCACACATGCTTGCCCATATCTTCCACAGCCTGGTTTTGAACAGCCCACAAACTGGTACTGGACTGTGGCCTCAGGACTGGGGATCTCTGATGTAAAGGATTGCAGGAGAAAAAGGGAAATGAACATCAATGATCTCCTGCCTCATTCTGTAAATGTAAACGCTCCCATGAATTAAAATAAGTCTTCCAATATTTGATTCATTCTGATTATGCAGTAAAGAAAAATAGTCCTCAGTATTAGCAACTTACATTGAAACTGAAACAGGAATATCGTCTTCCTTTTTTTGCACAATTAATTCTGTTTATAAAGCCTGCCTCAATTTTTTTTTCTAGAATCGGGAACTATTTATCAATTGCAGTGATTTATTTTTTATGGTAATGTTTACTTTTCAGATATAAAAAACATCTACCCTTAAAGTATGCTAATTTTATATTTCAGATTGAAACCTTTTGGCCACTCCTAAATATATACACTGCTGTTCAATATTATTTCACTTATTGTAGGGTAACAGATGGTTAACACATTAATTCGCCTTTCCTATGCCTAGCTTAGTGAAGAGCTCTTTTTTGAAGGTTAAATTATAATTAATAAATCTACTAATCAAGTTGTCCAAAACTTGTTATCTTACTATTTGACATTTTAGTAGCCTTCTCCTAAGCTGATTGGCAATTAGGGTGACCTGAAAATGATGATAAAAACACTTACTATCTATCAGCTGCCATCAAGAACAATGATGAAAATTCATATAGAAGATAAACTGTCCCTTATTAAAATTTAAATGAGAGTGAAAGTGCTCTGAACTGATATGGAAAAGTTTGCATCAAAACTATAATTTGTTTTAAGAATTAATACACTAAAGCTTCTTAATCAGTAAACATTAATTTCTTATGTCACTTTTGAAGGAATTATGTATAGTTTGAGGGAATTGTGCTCAGAATGTCACTGATAATGTATTTACAGCACAATTTAATTTAGTTTAAGGTTACTTAGTATAAGTAATTTAGTTTAGATTATTATTATAGCAGTTAAATTTAGTTTAATATTAAGTATGTTAGTATATTTGGTATATGACATTACTAAGAATTTATCCATTAGTGGTATTAGTTCTTATCACATAGGCCTTATATACAGTAAAAGCTTAATTGAGTTCTATAGATTCAATTTTATACATACTAGATTAATTTTAGGTAAAACTCCTTCTGACAGACAAATATTGTTTAAGTATAAGCTGTCACTTATTTGTAGAAGTTAAACTTTATTAACAATAAATTGACATGGGTCTTATTATTATTTATATTAAGTAGGATATCAAATTGCTATATTATTTCTATTCTGTTTCATTGTATTTTACTTTTTTTATCTTGATATGTTTAATGGGCCTTTTATATGTAATAGGGAAATCATTTATAATAAAGAATCAAATTAAAAACCATAAATCAAACTGGTAATTTGAATGTTCAGAATTGAAACAGAAGATGAGTAGTTTCAGCAGCCCATAAAACTTGATGGAATAACCATCTTTTTAAAGACTTCTTTAAAATCAGGAAGGAGATGATTTGAATATCATGGCAAGATACTGTTCAGAGAAGTAGGACAATAGCTGAAAATACATGCTTTTATTTTATAACATAACCCAATGAATGTTGAGGGTATACTAGGTTTTTCTGAGCAGGTTAAGCTTGCTAAATTCTGGACATGTTGTTTCAAAAATGTTTACCTTAGGTCAGTGGTGGCAAACCTATGGCATGGGTGCTAGAGGCGGCACTCAGAGCCCTCTCTGTGGGCACTCGCGCTGTCGCCCCAGTCCTAGGCCTTCAACTGGGTTTTATAAAACCTTTTGGCTTTAGGCCTCCACCACCGTGTGAAAAAAAAAAGGTTCAATCAGTCAATTTCAACTTCTCGCAGAAAAAAAAAGATCTTACAAAGTTGGAATTGATTGATTGAATTTTTTAGTCCCACCCAGTCTGCCATTACCACCACAGCCATGCCCACCCAATGGGCCAAACCCACCCAGCACCCAAGGATGCATAAGTGGATTTTGGGTTGCAGTTTGGGCACTTGGTCTCTAAAAGGTTCGCCATCATTGCCTTAGGTTAAATTATTTTAAAATTTTAAAAGATTTTGTTGTTTTCTTTTTTAGCTATCCTTTAGCTATCCTTTGCAAGTATAGTTCACTTTTAAGGAGAAAGACTATTGATTTAGACATAAAGTCATAGGGCTTAGTAGACAAAGTGTTTTCATAGTTTTTGTGGTTTGCTGGTTGTGGTTGAAAATTTTTGTGGTAAGTTTCAAGAAAAGACCAGAAGCCACCCTTGCTTCAAGAAATCATAAAATTTGAACACAAGGAATTTTGGCTTAGAGATTCCAAGTGTTTAGCTGGGGAAGATTTTGTTTTCTGTCCCCAATCATAACCCTTCTAGCAATAATCGATAAAACTGCCACAACTTTATGGGGTATAGTATAGGAAAGAAAGTAGTTTGTCAAAGATAAAAGTGTAGAATAAAAATTGCTCGGAAAAAAATAGAATTGGCTGAAGTATACAAAATATAGAAGCCACACAAAGGTCTGGAGACATTTTTGTCTAGATCAGAGAGATGCAGGAGAAAAAGAAGCATTGTTTCTTGAAACATGACTGATGGTTAATGAAACTTTAACCATTTCAAAATAGAAGTTGATCTATTTTGTTGGTCATTCATATTCTTCTTCATTCCTAAGAGAAACATTCATTCATTCTTCATTCCTATGGAGAAACAAGCAAATTAGTATACTTTTTTTTCTTTTGGGCAAAATGTTAGCTGCCATATGATTCATATCACAAGAATATCCAGAAATAGTTCTTATTACATGAATGCAATCCTTCATTTCTTTAGGAAACTCATCAAATTTCCTAATTTTAATCTACGTATGTCCACAGTAGACTACCAACTATCAATATTCTCTACATAAATATTTTCAGATGACCACAGGGAAGGGCTAGAGGCAAATATCCCTGACAGTTATCCTAAGGTATTTCTCCTATGGTTAAGGTTTCTATAGGTGATCATATTTATTATGTCCAATCCTGAGCAGTCTTTGCATAAGACCAAAAATAAATAAATAAATCAAGACGAAGAGCAAGAAGATAAAATGACATACAAATAAGTACAAAGGCAGCCAAAGAAATAGTTAAAGGATATAGGAAAGAGAAAATATGAATAACTCTCCTTTGCTCTTTGGAATGTTCATTTTGGTACTGGAACAAATAGCAAGAAGGGAATTAATGTTTGCATTTACATTCATTAGAAAGGAAGGGATTACAAGAGGGATGGAGGATGGGGAAAAGACATTGAAAATAGTGTTCTGTCATTGGCAGCCATAAGTACACTATACAAAGAGTCCAGTGTATTCTTGATTGTATGCCTGCTTATTCTCTTATAATCCCTTCTTCTCTATTCTCTGTCTATGGGTGGTGGTGGGGACAATAGGTTAGGCATTGACTGATGAGTGCCAGAAAGATCATAAATGCAGACATTAGTAATAAAATTACTTTTTTAGCACCATCATACCTTTGAATGAGGCAGTCGGTAAGTAAGGACCATCAATAGCTTCAAGATATTCCCAAAGGCACTTCCTAGAAGTACATTTCCTTTCCAAGCTATGGAAAAATCCTTCTCAAAACAGCAGAAATAATCCAGAATAATCTTAGCATTCAACACCCTACTTCCAAAATGTCTCTTGCATATTAATATATAATAAAGTATATTAATTAAATATTGACAAAGTTACTTTTTCAACAGGTGACACAGGTGAAGGAGAAGAATGAGAATGACTACATTCTTTTGATCCCAGCAGCATGTCAGGTATGTAGATTTTTTATAAGATATTTGTCCATATGTTATCAGCTTATTTAAAAATGTAATCATATGTGCTACAATGCTGATACAATGTATATACAATTATGTGATCTTTATTTGTCTCATTTTTAAGGATTCATATACTCCTTAATTCATTACACACAGTAAAACTGAGCAATAATTTTTACTAAATGAATATTGATCTACCTGTCAGTCTTCCTGTGTATCATCATTCTATCTATCATCTATCTCAGAGATGTGCAAAATTTTCCTTTCTATACATTTTCAACATTTATTAGCAAACAACCTGAACTTTAATACGTTGTTGACATCTACTGTATATTAATGGTTTTTTTCCTTTAATTGGTAAGAGGTTCAGGGGGCTCCAGTTCATACCAAGATTGCATGTTGTGAAAATCATAATTATCTGCCTTCAACTACTCTTCTCATTTTTCTCCATTAAATCAAATATTAAAAGTTGTAGTATTATAATTCTGAAAGGCTAAATACATAATTAAAGCATATATATGTCTACAAACTATAACCAATTATTATATTTATTAAAATTGAATTTAAGCCTAAGTTTTAGCTTGTTAGACAGTCAGTAATATAGAAGCCAACAGAAACCAATTGGGCCTCTCACATTTAATTCCATTTCATCCCTCCCAAAGCAGCGTCAGGGTCTGCAGTAAGCATTCTGAAGAGAAAACTCTTCTCTGATCTTTGGTGGTTGTGCTTCTGAAATAAGCAGATGCAGTGCAAACATCTACAACCAGGTAGAATAAACCCTAATAAGAAAAAGAATCTTTAGCCTAAGGTAAATAATGGCACTAAATAAAGAATAGCAAATCTGTTAGACACGTGAAGTAAAATATTTTCCATAAACTGGATAGTTGTCCTTGAAAAATGTAAAGAATTGATGAAATGTTAATTCAAAACTTTGTATCAAGATTGAATAAGGTTGTACTCCTGAATTTCATCTAACAAGGATAAAGACAGCTTAGAAATTTCTTACAGGCGTTCTTCAGAGACCACTAAATCTGGCTAATATGATTTTTCTTTTTTTTTAATGTAGTTTATATGTTAAAAAATAAGATAAATACTTGGCCTGCTCAATAGGGAATTATTTGAAAGAAAAAGTGATACTGCCAGCCTTGAGGAAATAGTAATGTTGTCAAGGTTCTGACTAATGGAACACTTCAAATAACTTCCAGGCATTGTTTATTCTAAAAAGTCTTTAATCATATGAACACAGTGTTGGCACAGCATGGATGGATGCCAAGATCTGAAATATCCACCCCAGAACAATTATTTTGCTAGCATTTTTCCTCCTCTTTTGCTGTCATAAATCACGTTGTCCAACCAGCCTGGGGGATAAAGGTTCACTTCCTGCACATTCTTTTTCCCCCCTCCCAGCATCATCTGAATTAACTCTAAAAGTACCAGACAGTTCTGCATATTTTGTTAAAGCAAGAATATTCAATATTAGCAGCATTGACAAATGTCCCTCCTCTTTAAGAGTGCATTACTGAAACCTTCCATTCTAGATAACTATCAGTTTTTAGTCTTCCCTTTTGGGGGAAAAATTAGATAATATTTCAATCAGTCATTAGATTTTGGGGGGGAGCTGTGGAAAAAATTAGTTGGATGGCAATTGCAGAGATTTATAAAGATAATGGATCATAAAAAGACCGAGGAGCACAAGAATGGAATAATAATAATAGTAATAATAATAATAATAATAATAATAATAATAATAATAATAATAATAATAATTAATAATAAAGTTGGAAGGGACCTCATCTAGTCCAACCCCCTGCTCAGGCAGGAAATATTATATCATTTTGGACAAATGGCTGGCCATTCTCTTCTTAAAAATTTCCAGTGTTGGAGCATTCACCGTTGTTGGTCTTGGAATTAATGTGGTTATTATTAATTGGTGTGAGCCCTGTCATACTAGTATATCATTTATTGTTCTGGTTGTTTTAGTTCAACCTATCTGTTTATGGGGGTTCTAACTGATTTAATTATTTTTGCTAGATTTTTTTATTTTGGTAAGCCACTCAGGATCTTCTGGAGTGCACAGCAATAACAAATTGTTAAACAATTAAATACATTTAATTTAATTATTAATCAAGCATAGACTGTTGTTTTATCATGATTAATAAATGTTATTTTATCATGCATTTAGATTTTGTATACTAATTAAAATCTAAGAAACTGGAAGAAAACATTTTTACTTAGGACTTTATTCTCTCAATAAATGATAAATGCTTGTTAATTAAGATTAAACTGTTAGTGTTAGAATGATAAATTTGAATCCATATATTCAAATTAGAAATCCATGTCTGAGTTTTAATCATTTGTACCTTAATGGTTATAGAGGAGATATATGCATGGAGGAGGGAGGGTTTCAGAAAAAATAATAGATGGTTAGAATAAAAATAAGTTACACCATTACCATAGGTAATATATTTTTTTAAAAAATATTTTATTAGGTTTTATAAGGGTAGAGAAGGGATAGGGTTGGTGTAGGTAGGGGTGGAGTTGGGGAATAGGGTTGGGATAAGGGTAAGAGTAGATACAATGGTGGGGTTGCTCCCCACAAAGAGTTCAACACTTTAGCAAGCAGACTATCGTCCAGGTACAAATATTGAATGACAGTAGTTAATATAATACTAAACAATTATAATCACTGATAGTAACAATAATCATAGAAGTAAAGCTTAGTAAATATCATTAATCCTGTTAAATTTCACAATCCTTTCTCGCTCTAACGTAATGCTAGCCATTGATAAAAATTTTCCCATGTTTTAAAATACACTGAATCTTCTTTCTCTTTAATCTCTAAAGTTAGTCTAGAGGCCATTTCTGCACATTCTAAGATTTTCATGATTATAATCTGATCAGGTGGTAAATTTTCATTTTTCCAAAATTGGGCAAATGCAGAAAAAATAATAGATGGTCAGAATAAAAATCAGTTACACCATTGACATAAGGAAGGATAGAAAACCTCTCAAGTCCCTTGATAGTTCTTAAGGTTCACAACCCAAATACAGTATATAAAATGAGGGAAGAAAGACTCTTTTCAAACTATCTTGCAGATTTTATTGGAAGAGCTAATCTTTCATTATATTTCTAGCATTAAAAGCATGCTCTGCTTCATTTATTTCTGAGGTTTCCTTTATGTGTGTGTATCTATTTGAATCCATATTGCCTCTTCATGAGTGCTTAAACTAGTCATTACATTTTTCTCTATTTCCCCTATACTACGTTACTGTTGAGTCCATCGCGAAATGGTAAGACACGAGAAGCAGTTGTAGTTCTCAGGAAACCTTTATTCTTCAGTTCAGCTTACATTGGAATATCGCGGCAAAAGCCCACACCTCGCAGCCTCCTTTTATAGGACTTTCCCGGGTCAATGTGTTACTTTTCGCACACCAGCACTTGCGCATGCGCACAAGCACTGGCGACAGCCTGTCTGGTCCCGGGCAGCTTGCACCTGCCCGGGACCGCCTGCAACGCCCCGAGCCCGCTTGCAAGGCTCAGGACATAACAGTTACCCTCCTCTCTGGCCCTTCTAAGTGACTGTCACTGTTGGGCGTTTCTGTAGAACCTCCTAGGTCCGTCCAAGACCTGTCAGGATGCTGTCTATCCCCTGAATCCCATTCTGTGTCCGGGCTTGTGTGGGTTTCAGTACTGTCCCAAAACTCAGTTGTCCCCTGAGTGTAGTCAGAGGTGTTGTAGTCGGGATTTGGTTCCTCGACCACCTCCCTGTGTGTTTGCCCCCTTCTAGGGACAGGGTTAAAGTCAGGCCAACTAGGAGGAGTGTGTGCCAGCTCTTTTGCAGGGAATGGATTGTTGGGATGCTCCCAGGTATTCTCTCTGACTGGAGTACTGGGTGATACGGGTGAAAAGTGATCATGCCCCTGGGGTGACTCCCTGGCTGGAGTAGGCGTGAATGCCTGATAACTGGTTAAGCTCCTAGAATTCCTGTTTGGAGCACTCGCGGAATTTTGGGATGGACCATTTGTGGCTCCCTCATTGGTAAGGGGCAGCATTCCATGCCCCTCCCTTTGCCCAAAGGGCTCCCCCTCCCCACCTGGAAAAGACCCAGGAGTCTCAGCGGGAATGTCCCGTCTAGGGCGAAGTTGGTCAATGTGCCGATGCAGGACATGACCATTGTCCGGGGATACCTCGTAGGATAGAGGACCTGTGATCCTGGATATAGAAGCGGGGACCCATGTATGACCAGGCCCGTAATTATGAGTCCAAACCGCGGCACCCACAAGTAGTTGCCTAGGTGCCCTGGGGTGTGAGACAGAAGGAGGCAGTCTGTCCGGATGCAACCGGTCAAGCTTGGTAGTCAGTTTGCGCCCCCAACGAAGTTCAGCTGGGCTCCTCCCTATAGAAGTGGACGGTGTGGTGCGATAAGAAAGGAGGAAGTCAGCCAACCTGTGATGCCAGTCCCCGTAGGTGAGCCTCTTCAAGGTGTCCTTGATGATGCGAACCATGCGTTCAGCCATACCATTGGTGGACGGGTGGAAACGTGCAGAAGTGGCATGACGAATCATGTTAGCCTGCAAGAAAGCTTGGAATTCGGAGGAAGTGAATTGAGGGCCGTTGTCAGACACAATGACGTCTGGAAGCCCGTGTGCAGCAAAAATCCCCCTCAGTACCTGAATAGTCTTTGCAGTGGTGGTGGAAGAGACAGGTACAACCTCAAGCCATTTTGAATGGCTGTCAACGAGGACCAAGAAGAATTGACCCTGAAAGGGCCCAGCGTAGTCAATGTGCACCCTAGACCATGGAGACTGTGTTTCCTCCCATCTATGCACAGGAGCTTGGGGCATTTCAGGGCGTGAGCGTTGACAAAGGTGGCAAGCATGCACCTTAGCTTCTATGTCTTTGTCTACACCTGGCCACCACAAGTGGCTGCGTGCAAGAGCCTTCATTCGTACAATGCCAGGATGACCCTCGTGGAGGGAAGCTAAGACCCTAGTCCT